TTGTTAAGCAAATAAAACCAAGACTGCAAAGAATTTGCCGCAACTCAGGTAACCAACCAACTAAGTCAGATCTTTTTAGCGTTTTTCTTCATTTATTTTGCGACATGAGTTCTCTAATAAACTGATTGGATACAGAGTATAAAAATCGATGTGTTGTAGGCTTCAACTAACAGCCTCGTTTTCGCTTGATAAAAGTTCTTAAGCTCAATATTCCTGCCAAAATCGTTGCCAAAGCGCGTTTTATAGTCAATTTTATTGCTTGTTACTTACAGTTCTCATTTAAATGCGCATGAATGCCAAACGGCCACGACGTAAATTAACAGCCTTGTGGCCACATAAAAGTGGCTGTCAAGGGTTAACAATATGTATTTAACGTGCTACGTTGTGTTAAAGCGGGAACTTAACTGCATTTGAGTTTGCTTTGCACAAATAATTGGTCGTCCTATGAAATAATGAATAAAAGCGACTCCCAAATGGTAAATTATAAAGCGAAACACACAGCTAAACATACAGCAAAGCAGATGCCAGTAGAACAATATTATCAGCAGTATAGATGGATGATATTTGTCCTTTAAATTAGGATGAATTGACATTTAAATGCCAGACTGCCAAATGGATGACTGCAAAATATGAAGCTGACAAATAGCAGTCCCATGAAACAAAGCTGATAATCATGCATTGGACGTCATAGAGAAACAAAATTGTGACGCGGTTATAAATAAAAACAGATGAGTGCTAGCATGATTAACATATTTTTGATTATTCTCGCAGCATGTCCGGCAATAAATGCGAAAAGCATGTAACGACAATGGCATGTTGAAGTATGTTTGTTCCCAGTAGCATAAAAGTGGAAATGGCAATATAGTTTCCGTGACATTCAGATGCATTATCGAACTAGCTCGAAACGTTTTGAAGACACAATACAATAAGAGGTCAATGCTAATGTATAAATTTCCCCAAGTTTTCCCTACACCTTCAAAAAAAGATCAACAGAATTGAAATTAATTTCTTCTTATTTTTATGTTGCCATTGCATATTGATAATGTAATTTGTATTAAGTACCGTAAAAACGCAAATCTTGAAGTTACACCATTTTTTGAGCAAAAGAAAATTTTAGTCAATTGAATTTGGGTATGATTCTAAGGATAACTTATATTTTCAAGGAATTTTTCGTATTTTGAAAAGCTTTTTGGGCTTGAAAAAAGCACTTTCACTTTGAATTTCGAACCATTTTTTTATCAGTATATAGTGGTGGACTTATACACTAAATCGAACGTCAAGTAAAAGTATTATAAAAAAAAAACAATTAAAGCGTACTTCCTTGTATCCGACATTCTCAATTATAAAATATCCTGAAAGTATGTAGCAAATTAAATTTTAAAGCTTGCAAATAGATCTATAACTAACGATTTCCCTAACTAGATTGTTTATTGAGATACTTAAGTATTTGTTTAGGCAGTACCTTCGGAACCGGAGCACCTTTTTAGTGCACTTCTGTGACTCTTCGCTGGTTCCAATTGAAGTGGAAATCATGACGGATAGCTTTGCCCCACAAGAGCTATAGAACTACTAATTTGGAACTAGTTTGTTGGATGGACTGCCGAGTTGGTAAGCAACAAAACAGAAGGCGCTGCCACTAACCATACAACATATAGATGCGTCATTTCATACAACGAAAACGTCCCATCGAAATTGTTAGCGACAGCTCCCATAGCTGTTCGGGTATTTGCCGAATGGGAGCTGTCGCACTTCGGCTATGAGCCGACTGGGAGCTGTCGCATTCGTGCTCTCTGTGAGCGAATTTCATTTCATTCGCAGAGAGGCAGTCTACAGAGACGGTCGGTTCACGCCGCTTATGCTCTTTGTATGTGTGCGTGCACATATATACATGTATATGTTTATATGTATTTGTGCATTTGGTCTTTTGCTGTTTGCGAGCAGCAGCTTCAATTTCGTTTTCAGATTTTACCTGCTACATGGGCATCAGAATTTCATACACTGTTGCCATATTTCTGTCGCATTGTATTTTGGGATGCGTATGCAAGTGAAGTTTGTCAGTAGTGTATGGGTTTCTCATAACGCCTATAAAAGCACACATACATTACATACATATTTATGTGTGCAAATGTTGTGTTCATATGCAGACACTTCATATATGAACGCGTGGCAGTAGCCTTGACATTGTCATGACCTGCCTCAACTTATATTTATGCACAAGCAATTTTATTGATAGACTATTTCTTATTTTTGTTTGACTTGCATATTAATTACAAAATATTTGGTAAAAATGTCAGTTGGCATTTAAATCAAATTAATTCAAAAATATTAGTTTAAAAATATATTATTTTATTTATGTTCTTGGTAAAAATGTCGGTTGGCAAATTAGCCGATATTTAATATGAAAATAAGTACATTTAAGGGTCGCAAAATGTGGTAAAATTTGTAAAACAAGTGTAATTAAATAAATAAAAATACATACATATATGTTTATATGTATTTATGTACATCTTTTGATAATTTAATATATATTGTTTTTTTTTTTTAATTCGCCGCTCAAATTTGTTACCGATCTAATATTGTATATGAACAAACATATTACATCGGTATCCAGAGACGGACGGAGCTTTAAGTTTAAGGTTACTATTAACGTAACCGAAGTTTTTATTTAGTATTAAATACTCGGAAGTGCATTGGACTTCATCGGACGGTTTCAACAGATTTGAACACACTTTGCAGTCGTGTTTCTTCAAGAGCTTATGTAAGAGATACCCTGCAAAATAACGCAAAGCATTCTCATTGAAAGCGTCTTGAATATTCAAATCTGTTGCTTCTATAGCCAATTCTAATTCTAATTCGTCATCAATGAAAATCAAGTCATCATCTTCAGAAGATGTTAGCTCTGATGATGATTGATTTGACCCACAGTCTTGTATAATGTTAATCAACATAGTATCTTCATCGGGGGCACAGTTCCCAGATACTGTTGTTGATGTCAAGACTTTCATGTACAACATTTTGGACATGATGAGATTAAACTCAACCGATGTAATATGTTTGTTCATATACAATATTAGATCGGTAACAAATTTGAGCGGCGAATTAAAAAAAAAAAACAATATATATTAAATTATCAAAAGATGTACATAAATACATATAAACATATATGTATGTATTTTTATTTATTTAATTACACTTGTTTTACAAATTTTACCACATTTTGCGACCCTTAAATGTACTTATTTTCATATTAAATATCGGCTAATTTGCCAACCGACATTTTTACCAAGAACATAAATAAAATAATATATTTTTAAACTAATATTTTTGAATTAATTTGATTTAAATGCCAACTGACATTTTTACCAAATATTTTGTAATTAATATGCAAGTTAAACAAAAATAAGAAATAGTCTATCAATAAAATTGCTTGTGCATAAATATAAGTTGAGGCAGGTCATGACAATGTCAAGGCTACTGCCACGCGTTCATATATGAAGTGTCTGCATATGAACACAACATTTGCACACATAAATATGTATGTAATTGTATGTATGTGTGCTTTTATAGGCGTTATGAGAAACCCATACACTACTGACAAACTTCACTTGCATACGCATCCCAAAATACAATGCGACAGAAATATGGCAACAGTGTATGAAATTCTGATGCCCATGTAGCAGGTAAAATCTGAAAACGAAATTGAAGCTGCTGCTCGCAAACAGCAAAAGACCAAATGCACAAATACATATAAACATATACATGTATATATGTGCACGCACACATACAAAGAGCATAAGCGGCGTGAACCGACCGTCTCTGTAGACTGCCTCTCTGCGAATGAAATGAAATTCGCTCACAGAGAGCACGAATGCGACAGCTCCCAGTCGGCTCATAGCCGAAGTGCGACAGCTCCCATTCGGCAAATACCCGAACAGCTATGGGAGCTGTCGCTAACAATTTCGATGGGACGTTTTCGTTGTATGAAATGACGCATCTATATGTTGTATGGTTAGTGGCGCTGCTTTGCCTGCTGCCGGAATAGTTGTTTATGTTATTATTATTGCAGTGTGTGGAAATGTTTGCATTATGGAAATTTTCGATTGTCATTTTGGCGCGAAATGTGTGTATGCAAATTAAGTTACGCACAGACACTCACGCACAGTGACATACATATGTAAATGTACACGTACATACATACATGTGCAAGCATCAGGTCCATGTATGTATGTATGTTTAGCTTAAATTTTGGGAAAATGCAATATTGAGAAGACGCTGTCGGCGCTTTTGTCCGCACCCTGCAAATTCTATACTTACATTTTATTGTTCTAACATTCGGCTTTAGGCTCAAATATAAACAACATCGCTTTAAATACCAATATTATTCGAAGCAAAGTGTAAGTTAATGACATAATGACGTGTGTCACATTCAAAATAAGTATACATATGTACATACATATATATAAAGAATACATTTATTAATTATAGTATGCTTCGTAGTCTACTTTTCCCAACTTTGATTAGAGGATTACATATATGTATGTACAGTAATGTATGTTTATGTTTTCTTCTTCTTCTTGACTGGTCTTCAAACCCGTTATCGGGCTATGACCTGACGTAACACAGCTCTCCACGCGCCTCTGCTTCGCGCGCGTCGCTTCCAGTTGGTCACTCCGCAGGTAGTAAGTGCGTTCTCTACCTGGTCCTTCCAACGTAGGCAAGGCCTCCCCCGTCGTCGTCTCCCCCCAACATCCGCATCGAGAACTTTTTTCGCTGGAGCGTCTTCTTCCATACGCACGACATGACCTAGCCAGCTTAGCCGCTGGATGTTTATTCGCTTGACTATGTCAATGTCAGCGTAGAGCTCGTACAGTTCGCTGTTCCATCGTATGCGGTAGTCGTCGCCAACGCGTATGGGACCGAAGATCTTCCGAAGCATCTTTCTCTCAAACACTGCAAGAGCTGCTGCATCAGTCTGCGATATCACCCATGCTTCTGCACCATAAAGCAGCACGGGGAGGATGAGCGTCTTGTAGAGCGTTAGCTTGGTTTTTCGGGAAAGGTCTCTGCTACTCAATTGCCTACTGAGGCTGAAGTAGCATCGATTGGCTAGAGTTAATCTCCATTTGATTTCTAGGCTGACATCGTTGGTTGCTGTGACAGTGGTGCCAAGATACATAAAATCTTTCACCATTTCGAAAGTATAGTTTTCCACCGCGATCTGGGAGTCTGGTTGCCGCGTGTCCCTGCTAGAGGAAAACATATACTTAGTTTTGCTCTCATTTATCACCAAACCCACTTTTGCAGCTTCCTTCTCAATAGCCGCAAATGCTCCGGTGACGCCTCTCCTGGTACGGCTGATAATGTCTATATCATCAGCGTACGCAAGAAGCTGAACGCTTTTAAAAAAGATCGTTCCGCCTCGGTGTACACCAGCTTTGCGCACCACACTCTCCAGCAGGAAGTTGAAGAGATAGCACGAGAGGGCATCGCCTTGCCTGAAACCTCGAACGGTATCAAAGGGTTCGGAGAGGTCCTTTCCTACCTTGACGGAGCTACGAGTGTTGCTCAACGTCATTCTGCAAAGTCGCACTAGCTTTGCAGGGATACCGAACTCAGACAGTGCGGCATATACACGTTCCCTCCTCGGGCTATCGAATGCTGCTTTATAATCGACGAAAAGATGGTGGGTATCGATTTGAAACTCATGAGTTTTCTCCAGGATTTGGCGTAGCGTGAATATCTGGTCAGTGGTGGATTTACCAGGCATAAAGCCGCACTGATAAGGCCCAATCAGTGCTATCGCAAATGGCTTTAGCTTATCACACACTACGCTTGATATGACCTTATATGCGACGGAAAGAAGGCTGATTCCACGATAGTTGGTGCAGACCGTGGGATCACCTTTTTTTAAGACGGGACATAGGACACCGAGATTCCAATCATCAGGCATGCTTTCAGTTAGCCATATTTTGCAAATGAGCTGGTGCATGCACCCTACCAACTCATTGCCGCCTGCCTTAAATAGCTCCGCAGGCAGCCCATCTGCTCCCGCAGATTTGTTGTTTTTGAGCCGCTGGATGGCTGTTTCGACTTCGTCATGGCTAGGTGACGGTACTTCAATACCATCGTCGGCGATCGGTTCTGTGGGGTCATCTCCGCTGGCGGAATTGTTAACATCTTCGCCTGATAGAAGATTGGAGAAATGTTCCCTCCACAGTCTCAGTGCCGCTTGCCCGTCCACCACCAGATTTCCTTCCGAGTTCTTACAGGCTGACGCTGCGGGCTTAAAACCTTGTGTTAGACGCTTCACCTTCTGGAAAAATTTCCTAGCGTCGTTCCTGTCTCTACAAAGCTCCATCTCCTCTCGCTCTCGCTTTTCTTGCTCTCTCTTCTTGCGTCTAAAAAGCCGCCTCTCCTCCCTCTTCTTCTCCCGATATACATCATGCACAGCGCGCGTTGTCGCCGTCTGCAGGGTTCTTTTGTACGCGGCATTCTTCGCTGCAGTGGCTTCGCGGCACTCCTCGTCGTACCATTGGTTTCTCGGTAGCGGCTGTTGGAAACCAATGACATCTTCTGCGGCTGTGTGCAGTGAGCGGGAAATATGTGCCCAAAGTCCGCTACCAGTATCGGTTTCCGAGAGCGGTTGAGAAAGCAGCTCAGAGAGTTGAGCGGAGTAAGCTTCGGCAGTCTGTTGTGCTAGCAGCTTTCCGACGTCTAGTTTTCGCTGCGTGTTGGGGCGTACATTTTTCGCCATGCATAATCGCATGCGGACCTTGGCTGCAACAAGTTGGTGGTCCGAATCAATATTCACACCACGGAACGTACGCACGTCCAGCACACTGGATGCATGCCTTCCATCTATCACAACATGGTCTATTTGATTTTTTGTCATTCGATCGGGTGACTGCCAGGTAGCTTTGTGGATATCAAGGTGTTCAAATCTGGTGCTACTCACCACCATGTTTCGTGCTGCGGCGAAGTCAATTAGCCTCAGTCCATTGTTGGATGTTGTCTCGTGGAGGCTGAATTGTCCGACTGTCGGGGCAAAGACGCGCTCTCTTCCAACCTTGGCATTAAAATCGCCAAGAACAATTTTAATGTCATGAGAGGGGCAGCGGTCATAGACTGTCTCCAGTCTCGCATAGAACTCGTCCTTGGTAATCTCGTCTTTGTCCTCCGTCGGAGCGTGGACGCAAATCAGGCTTATGTTGAAAAATCTCGCCTTGACACGGATGGTTGCCAGCCGTTCGTTCACAGGTGTGAACCTAGAGACACAGTTACGCAGTCTCTTGCTGACCGCAAAACCGCATCCAAATTCGCGTCTTTCTGCATGGCAGCTGTAGTAGATGTCAAAGGCTGCTCTTTGGGAGCAACCCTGACCTGTCCATCGCATTTCCTGGATGGCGGTGATGTCAGCTCTTACTTTATTGAGAGCATCCGCCAATTGGATAGTAGCACCTCCTCTGTTAAGGGTCCGGACATTCCATTCCTTAAATCGTGGTCCTTTAAACGTTTGCTAGGGTCGTCAACTTTTGGGTGTTCCTTATCCGAGGCTGTTGTTATGTCCTTCACTGGGAGTAAAAAATTTTCATGTGGTGGGTCCCAAGCCCTACGCACAAAAGCGCTGCACACATTTGCTCACTTACCAACTCCGGATGGAGCCGGAAAGCTACCCAGAGAGCACCGCGAGGAGGTCGTGTGTCAACTTGATGATGGCAGAGACAAAGATCACTCTGGCCATTTCCACGTTAATGGCAGTCAGAAGCTTTACATTGTTCTACCAAAATCCGATGTTTATGTTTTAATACTCAATATTTTCAAATGAGAAATACATACGTAGAAAAATAAACTAGAATTCGTAAGTCAGCGGTTGAGTGCATTAAATACAAAGTGTAAATAGGTGGAAAAGCTTAAGTCGGGTGCCCCGATTTCGAAATACTCTGTACCTATGTATGTGTAGAATAAATATTTAAATTTAAGCAAATTAACAAAGTTGAAAACAACCAATAAGCAACATTGTAATAAAAAACAATTTCGATCGACTATCCCTCCATTGGGGCACGAACGCTCGCATACGGTGTATGTCTGCACATTTGCATCGGGATTATGTCGATTTGTTTCTATACATGGCTGTATTTGTGATTATGTGTGCAGTGAGCAAAAGCAGCAACAACAACTACAGCCGCTACCACAGCTTGTCAGAGATTACATTTATGGCTTTAAAATGTACTTATCACGATGCTAGTTCACATGTTCTAATCGAAAGTAACTGCAATATTTGAAAAATTAAGAGAATTGCGGAAGTTTTGGAAAATATCGGAGAAGTGGCAGAAATACCTTTGTACTGCGTGTACATATCTATCTGTAAATTTAGTGTCCTTAGCTCTTATATAATCTCTGTGATCTAGGAGTTCACACAGACGGAGAATTATGGCTAAATCGACTCACCTTATCATGCTGATCAAGAGTTTATATACATTTTGGACTCAGCCTTGCATCCTCCTGCCTGTTAAATTTTTCGCTTTGCACAAAGCTAATATACTTTTGTGCATTTTACAAGTAGATCAGGGTATAATAAGTTTAATAAAAAGAAGTAGCGCATACTTTTGAAATGTGCGTGCTGTTTTAAAAACGTCAGAAGAGAAGCGCGTCAATCAAAAGGAAAGTAATACAGAACAGAGAGTGAATAACTGAGTTTAATGGCGATTCTTAAACACACCTTATTTCTTTAGGTTGGCCCACGAGCAGCAAACATGATTTCTGGATTGAACTTTACTATAATTAATTCTTTATTCAACGTAATAAAATGTTGTGGTATACAAGTATAAGTACGCAAAACATTTGAAAGCTTTGGTGAGTCAACATTTTTTCATTACATACTTGTATATATGTACATATAATAAAATCGAAACCCCTTTGTATTTACTAAACCATACAGTGGTAAAAAATAGATTTAAATCTATGTGTGGATTCAAATTTAGCTGATTTTTTTTTGAGTGCACGTGTAGTTGAAATTTTAATTTGTTTGGCATGTGCCACTCTTATTTCTGCAATGCTCTGCAACCCATCTTTTCTCATACAGGGCGTATGCGTTACATGCATATTTGTATTGCATATCTCAAAGGACTTAGACTGCTGTGCATTTTAAAAGTGTTTATGCATACACATTTATATAAACATACATACATACGTATATGCATTGTTGTTAGACAGCAACCTATTTAATGCCTGGTACCTGCAGCTGAGCTCCAGTCTCCGCCCAGATATTTTCACATTAAAAATTCAAATAAAACTCGCCGTGCTGCATTGCAGAGCCAAGTCGCTACGTGCCCGCCTGCTCGTATGCGCATCTGCCGGTCCGTTTGTTTGTTTGCTGGTACAAGCAACAGTTCGATGGTTCCACAAATAAACATTTGGTGCGTATTTAAGAAATGTTGCCTTTCAGTGGGCTGACTGTTCCTGGGCCAAGAGAGCATTAATTTTTTTTTTCGTGGATCACACATTTATGTGAACTGCATTGCACTGTCACTGTATTGCATAAAACCAATTTGCGCCAGATCAGACTTGTTTTCATTGTTGTTGTTGACAAGCTAGCAATCAACGTAAGCTCATTAAATTAGCAGGCAAAACAGACATACATACATATGTATGCCTATATGTACGAGTATATGCTCACTGTACCACATTCATTCAGGATTCGAACAGTAATTTCTGAAAAATAACGTCTTGCATGATGCTTCTCTATTTTTTCGTTAGCCGCAAACACATGGCATCGAGAAATGTTGCCAAAATTTTGCGTCATTTTATTTAGAACACACACCAGGGCGCCCAGTTTTTAAGATATCAGAAAAATCAATGAACTTCATTACTTAATCATGTACTCTTACAAGTATGTGTACATATGTATATACTTATGTATACATACATACTTGTATGTCTGTATGGATTAGCGAGTGAAGTACAAGCAATTATTAATTAGTCGCATGTGTTTGTATAAAGAGTAGTCTCTGTCTCAGGCGCAAAGAATTCTCGACGTCAAACGATGTGAATAGCAACGAACGACCTTCAACGTGAAATGCGACGTAAAATAAATTTATCTCAATCATATACATATGTACATATACATACTTACTTATTTATATATGTAGGTCTGAAAAAATATGTATATTTAGATATATACATGTGTATACATATATTTTTCGTTTTCGCTCTTTCTGCACTGATGTTTCGGTTTTATAAGCAAAGCAAGGAGAAGGCAGTATTGCCTTAAAGCAAGACGTCCAAATTTTTGGTTATATGTGTTTTCTTTACATTCACCTTGGCAGCGTACAATATTAAAAGAAACACAAAATTGTTGTTCATGTTTTTGTGTTAAACGAATAAAGAAGAAATTAGAAATGTTGTTAAATACAGTACGTTGGAAAATCACTAATAGGGGTGAAGGGGGGGGGGGGGGGGTGTACCAGAAAAGAGAACAAACTTGATCTGTCTAGGGCTTAGCGGAACCTGGATACCAAGTTTGGTTATTCTACGCCTTGTACTCCCTGAGATCCTTGCGCTCATACAAACGGATAGACAAAGTTTGTTAGAAATAAGATAAGTACTTGTAAGTATAAACAGGAACAGACAAGACGGACTTTGTCAGATCACTTTCTCATATAGCTGTTGATATTGAGGAATGCATTGGAAAGAGTATGAGAATCTGTGTTGTTTATCAAGGTTTTTGAATTAAATAAAATGAAAGATTAATCACAAACAGAAGAGACCGAAAAAATCGATTTAACTCCAAGGACACAGCAATTAAACTTATTAACAATGGTGAAGGGTATACAGCTTCGACACGTATGAAGATAATTTCTTAATTCGTTTGGAAATACATTACTCATGCTTTTAACGCAAATACCTGTACCTGCGTTGATTTAATTTTTCTTTATTTTGGATAATATTTTTTATATTGAGCTTACTTTCTGAAGATTTTGACTTCAAGCGAAGTTTTGCCGAACATTTTTATCGCATTTTCGCACGTGTAAACATTTCATACAAAATTTATTTTATTATTTCATACATGCAGGAAATTTATTTCTTATTATGTTTATAGGTACTTATTTCGATCATTATGGCTTAAAAGATTGCAACAAATATGTTTAATCTAGTGTTAGGAGCGCAGCAGTTTTTGATTAAAGCTTGTTTTTTCTGCGTCTCATCGGTTTCCGGGTTTATTTTTCCATATCCGCTGACAGAGTAGTGCATTTAAACTTGATGCCAGGCACAAATCATTTGGCAATCGAAGAAAATGAAAAAGAATTGAGCTCATGATAATTGCCAAGCCCTTGAGTGCCTTCTGGGAATGCTTGTGTGCTTGTACGACTGCCTAAAGTGTTAAACGGAAATTGAGAAATCAGCTTACGCACCATTAGCACATTATTCAGCTGTGACAAGAGGCTGACAGACGACACACAAAGGTGACACAGGCAATGGCCCAAAAAGTGCGAAATTTGCCAGGTTAAAAAGAAGGACGTACCAAAAGCACCAAAGGACAGATGGAGCAGCAACAATAACGACCTACAAGCCGGTCCGATTCCATTCCCTCGAATCCTGCTCCTCCATCGCCACCTGTGGCAAAGTATTTCCGTTTGTTGTTATTTGCCAATTTAAGAAAACAGCCTGGGAAATCGAGCCGCATCGCAACCCTTTCACTTTGTGGGCGTGCTGTTTGAGGCGGCCTTCTTTTCAAACTAAATCACGGCGTGTGTGTGAGTGTGTGGTTACACACATTCACACACACACACACACATATACACACTCCAAAAATAAGTGCTTGCTGTGTGGCTCATGTTGCCGTGCACGTTGGTGTAGCTGAAGTTTTCTTTTTGCATTTTATTTTCCCGCCGGCGCTTTTCATTTTTCATGCTACATGGTTTCGGATTTTTTCCACAGCCAACTACTTGACACTTCCGCTTCCGTTGGAGCGGCCATGTTATTGTCTTACACAGCATTTGCTGCACTCCGCCCTCTACATTCGTTTCTTATTTTCCTTTACTGCTCGACCCAAAGCTAACTAATCCACTGCAGTTACAGTTACGCACAGTTGCCTCACTTACCCCAAGTAACACCCAAATACATAGAAATTTACGCTCATCTGCTGTGACGTTTATCCTTCAGCGCCTTTTGGGTCTGGCTTTAACTTTAATATGAACCAAATTATTTGGGCAATCGATGCGTCGGCCGAGCGCGTCACTGTCTGTTTTATTTGGGAAATTTATTGTTTCTGTCCATGTAAGCGAAGGCGAGAATGGGGACGAAGAGTGAAAAGTGAAAATGTTTCAGAGTCAGCCTTATCTATGCTTTTTTTTAAGGGCTGGCCTGCTCTCCCGTTGCCCGTATTTTATTGAAATTCATGTATTTTTAAAAGCCTCAGCCATTTGGCTGGCTAGCTGGCTGACTGTTTGTTTGCGAGTGAGCTGCGACAAAAGCTCTAAATCGTTTAAGCATTTATTTTGTTTTTCGGCATTGCGTTTGATTTTCACAGCAATGTTGTATCTCTACATAAAAGTTAATGTTTTGCATCATGAGCCGAAATGTTTATGGGCGCTGTTGGTCCTTTATTAAAGCATAATAGGAAGCGATAACTAAATTGCTAATAGAACAAAAAAAAATTCCAAGCAGCTGCTACATCTGCACTAAGCTTTAGCTTAGTTGACTTTATTTGTTATTGTATTTTTATTTTCAGTTGGTTTGTGGGCATCTAATTTTTTGGTAATTGGAAATTTGAAGCAATGTTTTAGAATCTGGCGAGGGCAATGGAACTTGTGCTATTCGCAACATAACAATTTTACGGACTTAGTCGAAGAGACTGCGAATATGTTATCTTAGAATACGAATATTTGGCATTCCTTTCTTGTTATTATTTATACTTTGTTTAAAACAAATAAAACCGCATTGTTTGTTTAAATTTTTTTCAATAATCAATGATCAAAGTGCTCTTATGTTTTGTTGTGCATTATAGCTTGTGTACGAAGGACGTCCAAAATATTTCTGGACGGGCCATGAAGACGATCTCATACGTTAACCAAACGGACGGCGATACTGAATGAGTTGAAGAAGTGAGAGCATCGCTGGGAAAAGTATGCTGACTTAGAAGGGCACTTTATTGAAAGAAATCGGTTTTAAACGATTGTATCATATTAGTGCCCTCATACATCAGCATGACGAGCCCAGTTTATTGAACAAGCACGCAATAAAATACGAACAAAAAGGCGTATTCGAAAAAAATTTGTGTTACACATATTGTTTGGAAATTTTTCATCCATTTGTGTACTTATATTTTTATTGCTTGATAAAGAAATATGAACTAAAAAAAATATATTGGTACATATTACCTGTTTTATTGAACAGGAAGTCTTATAGATTAAGCTATTAAAGTCTCATCAAACATTCATACCCAACCTTATCTATCTAAGAAATAAAAAAAAAACGAATTTGTAGATCGACTTTATCTCCCGTGGTATTCGATCTGACCTAAAGGGTGTATAACTGCACATCTACTAGGAATTGTGTCTATGTGAGTCTATGCATCACTGTGTGAGCATGTATGCAGTACTGAGTTGACCCAAAGCAGCAACAACAACAACAGCAGCGAGCAGAGCTTGGGCAGAGATTACATTTATAGCTATAAATTTCTTCATAATTGACCTATCATGATGAAACGCGAATATACTAAATTTGAGTTCAAAATTACAAGCACTACGGGAGTTATGAAAAGCCACGGATAAAAAAAAACTAGTCCTTTCTCGGGCTTAGGAGAGTCTAGATACCAAGTTTGGATATTCCAGCTCTTATACTTTCCTTGCGTTCGTATGGACAGACAGACAGACGGACATGGCTATATCGACTCGTCTTCTCATACTGATCAAGAATATATATACTTTGTGGGGTCTGCCACGCCTCCTTCTGTGTGTTACATACATGCGCACAAAACTAGTATAGCCTTTCACCCTTTGGGTACAGGCTATAAAAACACACGACTGCTAAAGTCGAGCGAGCTCAACTCGTCACCGTCACCCCACCAAAAAAAATTTTTTGGCATACAGACACATAATCACTAACGGGATGTAGTTACCAAATTTTAGTTAGAAATTGTGTCCGTGTGCCAAATTTCATCATGATAGGTCAATTCTGAAGAATGTTATAGCCATAAGTAAAATAGCTGCTCATGCGCTGCCTGCAGCTCTGTCGGCAGCGCTGCCCGCAGCTGTTGTTGTTGTTGCTGCTTTGGTTCAACTTTGTGCTGCATACATACACGCATATAAACACGCATAGGTACGTGATGTAAATGTATGCTGTTAAAACTGAACATAAACATGTATTCTAATTTAATTTAATTAATTCATTCATTCATTCATTTTTTTTTTAAATTTTATTTTTTTTTAAATTTTTTCTTTTTTGTGGAGAGTACAGGCTATTTTACTGTCGGGCTTGCTCGACTGTAGCGTTCTATCTTGTTCGTATTTCTTAGTGCGTGTTTTTCGTGCATTTTTCAATCAACACAAACACGTACGGTTACGTACGAAATTGAAATATGAAACACGCACAATGCCATAATGGATCAGACACAAAATCGCGGCCCAAGGCCAGTTTCTTTTAGCCCGATCGCCTCAATCTATCCATGATTATTTATTACAATACAATACCGTATGCCGCACTCTATTATCAAGATTTACCACTATGCACTATATCATATAGCTACCATAGGAACGATCTGTGCAAAGGTTTGTCTTCTAGCAAGTATATAAATAATGACTGACAGCATTCTACGCTTCATAAAAGTGGTCTCTTCAAAATATACGAGTGCATAGTTACTTAGGGTGATCTTTTGGAGCCTGGTTTAATAACAGAGACAACTCTTGAGGTTCTCTACGCTTGTCTCCATTTTAATCATTGATGTTTGCTTATATTCAATTATTTATATTGAGAGTCTTAAGATCTCAGCCCTTCCATTGTTCTGTACTGGTGTAAGTGGAATAAGTTTGTTCTGTTGCATTGTTTAAGCAGCCAATAAAGACATATTGTGCAGAGCTTATCAGTGCGCTGAATAAGCAGTGTTTATATGTATGTGCTATCACCGATAAGTAGTAGACTTTACAAGTTCACTCGCCGACATGTTAAACCACGATATTTTCGTTTTGTGATATACAGCTCCCATGAACTTATTTTACCGCCTTGTTTATCGGCTCCGTCAATTGCAATTATTTGACGATAGTGAAGCACTTATCGTTCACTCAGGTACTTACCACCTTCCGGCTCTGAATCATCTATGTAGATCATGTTACTGCGACCTTTGGCGCTCTTTTCTCGCAATCGGGTACCCGTTTTGCTAAACGTTTTCTTGGCGAATACGAGTATAATGTACACAATATTTTTGTTTCGATATTTCACTATTTAACCTAAACGGTTAAATTTATACGATTCTTTCCCATTAACATAAGTAGACTTAAGGGAAATGAAAAATATGTAAGGCACTGTGAGACACTTTTTGCGTTGCACCACAAATATCGTTAAAATAAACTTCAATTTAGACTTTTTGCGCACTTAAAAAACGGGCATTAGTACGAGTAATTTTCAGTTTTATTTATAGCTCGCTCTCTTTCTATTTCGCACCAGAAAACTTCGAGCGGACCACGCTGCGTATGTATAACGTCGCCTTTGCCAGAATATTAGCAACAAACAGATTGATATTTTTAGATTTTAACTAAAACTGCCTTCCAGCTGCTTGGCTGCTGTTTGGGCTGCTCCTCATTATTCGATTTGCGCTGCCAATATTTTCGATTGCTCCTTCCTTTCGACTCACTTTTTACTCTGGCGGAGTGTCTGTGTGTGTGTTTCTTGCATTTGTTCAATTATAAATATGTTTTGCTGATAGCGCGCACCCAGTCAGAATATAACTGTTTGGCTCTTACGGGTCCGACTCGGGGCGGCACGACTTGTCGCTGATCGGTACCAATTCCGTTTGCCGTTGCCGTTTGGTATTGCCGTTTTCCGTCCGTTTGTTGGCTCGCTCCGCTCTCACCGCACTAGAGGAAAATATCTATAAATAAACAAAATGTAACAAATACAGTGATAGCAGGAGTCGTCTGCGAGCGTTATGTTGTTTGCCTCTGCGGTATACAAAAATAAATTTCAGAGCAATTTGTATGCGGCTTGTTCTCTTATTCTTTCTCTTCGCGACTTGTAAGCAAATGAAAATGCGGATTTTCCGTGCAATTGCCGTTTATCAAGTTTTCTACACCCTTCAGAGATTGCTCAAACACGCCAAAAGCGTGACAGGCATATTGGTACACTACTTATCTTTAACGAAGCAAGAGAGACTGTTATAGCCGAACAAGCCAGCGCTGAAATATCCGAACCCAATACCCAAACAAACTTCCTATTTGGATTTTAATAAAGATTGGGAATTACATATCAGTTAAGTGTATTCAAAGTTAAATTTATGTACCTGCGGATTTTGGAAAACTTGCAGTGCCTAGGGACTAGGGGATACCAAATATAGTTAGGTTTAGATCAGCCTTTCACTAGACCTACTTTCACTTACAGAAAAATATTTCTATTGGTGTTTTCCCTCTTTAATAGCTTCTCCAAATAAAATATTCAAACAGTTTTGGATTCACATTTAACTCCAGTCTATAATCGTGTGCACACATACAAGTACATGGCACTAAGATCATCAAGAAGCTTGGAATCCAAAATTGTGGGATCAGAAATGATTGAAACACATGGACAATTATGATTCTTCTCGTTACGCTCATTATATATATATTCTCCTCAAGAGTGTTTCAAACTTACACGCCGTTACACATTTTAGTGAAGGATACCAAAATATTAACTTAAAAACCAGTTGTATCTTATTAGGGTATTGAGAAGGGTATTATTGCTGTGGTGATGCTGCAGATACCGCTCTTATTGTTCTGTGTAGTTTTCTTGGCAATTTGCAAATGACATCTAGATATATAGATACATATATTAACATACATATATGCATATATTTGAGTATACATGTATGTATGTGTATGTGTTTGCAGGTTTATGGTACTTGGCGTGGTGTGGCCTGTTTACGAATATATTGAGCTTCCTATTGCCGCCTTGTTTTTGCCAACAGATTCTCGCAACTTGTTGCCATAGTTGCCACAGTCACTTCAGCATTTTTGGGTTAGGCATGCGTCACGTTTTGGCTACAATTTGTTGGTATTTATTGCTGATTACATCATACGCTGTGGCCTTCAATTGGATTTGGCTTATCGCAGGTTCATGTGTGATGTTCGCATGTTGATATGATTATAAATACATATTAAGCGATGTTGTAAATAGCCCACATACCTTATTAATGCTCCTACCCAGCCATGAAATATGTGCCCAAATTATATGTCTGATTTCTAGATAACTAATGAGAAAGTCACAGTCAAACACGCGAGCCCGCATTTGAAAATATTAGTGAACTACAAGGACTTTATAAATCTACCAATTTGATTTCTTCTTCTTTTTCCGAGCCACCTCTTGATAAATTAATTATTATACCCTGTACCCAAAGGGTACAAGGGTATATTAGTTTTGTGCGAGTGCACATGGAACACACAGAAGTAGGCTTGGTAGACCCCACAAAGTTTATATATTCTTGATCAGCATGACAAGCCGAGTCGATATAGCCATGTCCGTCTGTCTGTCCGTCTGTCTGTCCGTCTGTCTGTCCGTCTGTCTGTCCGTCTGTCTGTCTGTCTGTATGAACGCAAGGATCTCCGAAAGTATAAGAGCTAGAATAACCAAACTTGGTATACAGATTCTCCTGAGACCGAGAAAGGATGAGTTTGTTCATTTTTTCTGATCCACCCCCCCCCACTCCCCCCCTATTACCGATTTTCTATAACTCCCGTAATTCTTGGAATTTTGAACTAAAATTTGGTAATCACATTAGGTTAGTGATTGAGCCTGTTGAGCCTGCTCGACTTTAGCATTCCTTTCTTGTTATACCCTGTACCCAAAGGGTACAAGGGTATATTAGTTTTGTGCGAGTGCACATGGAACACACAGAAGGAGGCTTGGTAGACCCCACAAAGTATATATATTCTTGATCAGCATGACAAGCCGAGTCGATATAGCCATGTCCGTCTGTCCGTCTGTCTGTCTGTCCGTCTGTCTGTCCGTCTGTCTGTCCGTCTGTCTGTCCGTCTGTCTGTCCGTCTGTCTGTCCGTCTGTCTGTCTGTATGAACGCAAGGATCTCCGAAAGTATAAGAGCTAGAATAACCAAACTTGGTATACAGATTCTCCTGAGACCGAGAAAGGACGAGTTTGTTCATTTTTTCTGATCCACCCCCCCACTCCCCCCCTATTACCGATTTTTTATAACTCCCGTAATTCTTAGAATTTTGAACTAAAATTTGGAAGTCATATTAAGTTAGTAATTATTTATCCGTATACCAAGTTTCATTATAATAGAATGATCGGAAAGAAAGTTATAGCCATATAACCAGGCCCAATGCACACATACATACATATGTACAAGTACACAAACACGCATAAGGCACGATTCTGATGTAAATGTAAATGTATGTATGCATGCATGGAATATTTCATATTTAATTTAGTTAATTAATTAAATTAATTTAGTTAATTAATTAAATTAATTTAGTTAATTAATTAAATTAATTTAGTTAATGAATTAAATTAATTTAGTTAATTAATTAAATTAATTTAGTTAATTCATTTAATTATTTTTTTTGGGGTGGTACAGGGTATTTAAGAGTTGAGCCTGCTCGACTTTAGCATTCCTTTCTTGTTATACCCTGTACCCGTAGGGTAAACAGGGTATATTAGGTTTGTGCAAAGTATGTAACATGCAGAAGGAAGCATCTCCGACCCCATAAAGTATATATATTCTTGATCAGCATGACGAGAGAAATCGATCTAGACATGTCCGTCCGTCTGTCCGTCCGTCTGTCCGTCCGTCTGGATGAACGCGAGGATCTCAGAAACTATAAAAGCTAGAATAACCAAAGTTGGCATCCAGATTCTCCTAGGTCCGAGTAAGGACGAGTTTATTTTTTTTTTTTTAATTTTCCCCCCCTTCCCCCGCTACAGAATTTCGTCAATAGCGTCCACATTTCAAATGCTACCTCAACCAAACTTTGCACACACAATTCATATATAATTGTCTACTGGTGTTCAAAATTTTATTCAATTCGGTCAATTCTAAGAAAAGTTATTAGCGAAACAAATTCTCGCCAGTACAACCCCCACAAACTGCAGCAACAAGTTCGCTCTTCTTCTTCCTCTTTTTGTTGCTGCTATGGGCGCATATAACTCAGTGACGAAAGTTTACCTGGGTACAGGGTATTACACTGTCGGGCTTGCTCGACTGTAGCGTTCTCTCTTGTTTTTATTTTGTATTAATTGAGTTCATAGCAAAGCTCGAAAATCGCAAATGCACCGAGCATTTTACATGGTTTGAAATTACGTTTTTCTATTTTTATAATTGTTACCCACAAGCACGATAAGGCTGAGAATAAAAGATACCCGCCCCTCACGAGCAGATTGCGCCTACAATCATTTATCTTATCAGTACAAGAATGCAAGAATAGCTTGTGGGGGAGAGCGTATTGTGCGGGCATGTCTATAAAGAGAATGCTATAAAGCAGTGCGTCATATAATCGTATTGCATGTATGGATGTGTACTGTACAAGTACGATTGGTATCTCTAATTGGATATCGGAATGGACAAGTGCTGAGCTTTACTCGCTTTAGAAGCCGCTCTTAATAAAAAGCAATAATAATAGCATGGCAATTTGATTGAGTATACATACATATGTATACTAGTGTTTGGCAGACATACTCATAGAGAATGAACCACAGCCACGGGTACAGCCTCTAGGAAGAAAAGAGGAACAGAAAAACCACAATCATTGCGGGCTCAGCTTGGGGACAGCAGGCTTTTAAGGGTGAAGGCAGCTTAAGGGAAATGCTGCAAACGCAAAGCTAAGTACTTCTTTTGATTTACCAAATACACTCACAGGTTGGGCTTTCGAGAGCGCCGCGACGGCTTTGTTTAAACAAATGCAAATCCCTTAAATGCGCGCTAAACGCAGCGGGGATGTGAATGAGCCAGAGGCGAATGAGGCAGAAGAGGCGGTGAAGGCGGTGAGGCGGGGAGGCGGGGGAGAGGCAGAGCCAGAGGCTGCTTGTGTTTTGGTCAAATCGAAAATCGCGTGCCCGGCACGCTTGTGCTTTGTTTGTTTGTTTGTTTTATTGTCTATAGTATGTGAGTGTCTTTGTTGTTGCAGGCTTCGGTTGCCAGTTGGTTTTTGCTTCCGCGTGCACACCTTCCACATAGCAAATGGCTTACCTGCCCACACCTTTTGCTCTTCTTTCTTTGTTTTGTTCTGTTTTGTTTCGCAGACAGAGATTTTTGCGAAACTCTGACGAAACTTCTGTTCGTTATTTAGTGTGCACGAAAATGTTTCAGAGGCTCTGCCGCTCCTCCTATTGACGGTGCTGAGGCCGCATCCGGAGCTCTTGCTGCATTTTCAATTGCACCTTGCTTTTAGTTTTTATTTCTATGACCACTTCATAAATGTTTACATGCGTCGCTTTCCACTCTACTATTTTATTTTATTTGTATGTATTTATTTATTTTTTTGCTGCTGCCGCCTGTTTTGACAACTTTTGTGCCTCGTGATTTAGCACTACTAATCCTCGCGCTCTTCCCCCGCGCAACGGGCAATTATAGTTTGTACGGGTTCGACATTTCAATTTCGAAAAGTTCGGAATCGACTGCACGTACGAGTATGCACGACTGTGAGCATTTGCGAGTATGCCTGTTTGTATATATCTACATACATACATACATATGTACGTATTCTAATTATGTATATGTTTGTATTCATCTCGTGGTTCTATTTTCGTGACTGCAGCTCGTTCACAATTTTTGAAACAATTTTCTTGTCTGTTTGTTATGTTGGCCGTTGTTTTGAAACATTTTTCCGTTTTTGGGCATTGCACTGCAACTCATTGTAGTGGCTGATGTTTTTGTTTTTGCCGGAACATTAAGGCAATATTTATCTCGCTAAACTTATTTGGAACTAATTATAAATCCCGAGCGGGCAGACAAGTACGGAAGCTTGCATAGTATTGGTCCATTAGCCTCAATTTTGTTTAGTTCGCGTACAAAATTTTCATGCCAGTATGTAAGAGCAGAGAAAGAACCGTAAACAAAGGCGAAACGAGCACAATCTTTTCAGTTGGAAAGCTTTCTTTGCAATAACGAGCAGGTTGGTAGTTGCTCCGGAGGCCGACATTCCCGCAGCCAATGCCTCCACCATGCACCATTACTGTGGGGTAAGTCACCTACACACGTCCTTCACAGCGGTCGCGCACTTAATTCCATAAAGTCTAATCCTCGAGAGCGTTTTTGTTACCAATAGCGGCATTAGCATGAAATCTGTGATGAGTTTAAGTTCGTAGTACTTTCAATAATGTTCAGCCGCCGACACCTTCTGTGGATTGATGTATTGACACTGACTGAGCAACTCCGACCATAGCCGTCAGTTCCATCCGCATTTGTGGCTACAAACAGAACCATTGGCATTCCAGCTGTAAGTACTTTGATGGATTTAATCGGAGTTGGGTCAATTAATGCTTAATAGATTTAGCGTACCAACAACTGATGGTTGACAAGAATTCAGCATTGTTTCAAGCAATATATGCGTATGTATGGGTGCGTATAAGGCTAAGATATTATTAGCGCTTTGAAATTTGAACATGCATTAGGATCTTATTTCCAAATGCCTTCGGCAGCATGGGCTATTTCGACAACATAGTCTTAATGGAAAAATCGGAAGGAAACTGCATAAAATGCTGATTCGGGTACTCTAGCATTTTGACAAAGCCAGATTGCATTTTGGCAAAGACAAATGCAAGTTGAATTACTATATTCGGATTCAAAATCGATTCAGGATCAACTTCGCATCCGTGTACTTTAGCTAATAATTCCGTCTATGAATCTATGGCTACAGAAGGGAGTAGCTTAGCACCATAAATCTAGCGGCGTTGAACCAGAGCATTTTATTCCACAGTCCGAAAATGGAGCATCTACGAACGAAACTAAGTTACTAAGTTTTTAGCCAGCTGGTTCGTAGTCGTTTCAATTTAATCTCTCTACGTGATTCATAGATTTTTCCCATGGCAACTGGCGCACTTGATCGAAAGTGAGCAAACGTGGCACCCAACGTGCCGCTTTCTGACGGCAATGGTGGTCTGCAGACATCTTGGTGATCTCAGCTATTCATCTTACTTTGATTGCATAACCATTCAAAGAGATACGTGTATGTAAGTGGCTGTGGTAAATTGTCAATCGTCAGTATAATTTGATAAAAGAGGCCTAGTTATAAGAGCTTACGTTTAGAGTTCGGCTGCTTATAGTCAACCAAGCATTAAGATGCACAATTATAATGAAGAGTTCGATACAAAAAGTTTAGTATCATGAGCTAGCATAAGTATATGGGATTGTGAAAAGATAATGGGAGAGAATAGGGTTGTGGGGTATTGGTGGGGTGTACGAGTTAACCAAAATGGAATACTAAGGTCGAGCGGGACTAATATTTGAATACCCTGTACTTATTCGCACAAAGATGTACAAAATTTTTCTTTTAAATTTAATTGTTTAAGTTAATAAATTTATTTAATTTAATTATTACATACTTTCATGTAAGCATGTGTGCAGTAGAGAGTTGAGCATTCTTCCCCTATAGGGGATTTTCCGTCAGGATATTCCTTTCAAATTTCCCCTTTGCTTGCCCCAGCCGTGATTAATTCGTCACCACGGTCTTTAATTATAAAACCAACTCGTGCTGCGTACACACATAAGGCATCCTTCTGTCTACATCAAGTCGTCGTGTCATGCTGAATATAATATACTTTTGTACCTTTTTGGTACAGAAAATTTATTATACTCTGTACATGAAATGTACAAGAGTATATTAGGTTTGCGCGAGCTGAAAAATATAACAGGCAGAAGGAGGCGTGGCAGACCCCACAAAGTATATATATTCTTGATCAGCGTGACAAGTCGAGTCGATCTAGCCCTGTCTGTCTATCCGTCCGTATGAACACATGGATCTCATAGACTACAAGTATAAGAGCTAGAGTCACCAAATTTTGCACAAATATGCCTTATGTCTGTGCGCTGCGCAAGTTTGTTTTATTTTTTTTGATTTTCTCCCCACTTCCCCCATATGGGGATTTTCCCGATTTTCCATTCGTATAATCGCCTATATCTCGGAGACTATAAGACCTAGGAACACCAAATTTTAGTCCCAGATGCCTTTTATGAATATGCAGAAAATGTGTATTTTGGAATTTCCCTCCCTTCCCCCTCTCCACCGCAATCCATAACTCCCGTATTTCGCCAAGTTTGATAATGATACGAAGTTATAGGCATATATGTACATAAGACCAGGCAGTGCCCACAGCTGTTGTTGTTGTTACTGCTTTGCTCAGGCACACGAGACATACACAGACACATACATGTACAGAGTATATCAAAGTCGGGATACCCGAATTTAGCTTCTCTACTTGTTTATCTCTTATATCTTTATTTATGATCTATCCTAGGTAGGACAATTATTAAATTATATATCCTTGAAGTGTTCAATCATGTGTTTTGTCATGAGGTGTTGGTGGAAAATATAAAAACTAGAAAAATTTCGGACTACCCTCGTGTTACATTAATATTTTTGGTGTAGAAAATCCAGTTGGTAAAATGTTTTGGCCCAAAGAATTTTGTGCCACTTTTCGGCACAATATCGTTTAATTTAAACAACAAACGGCCTTGCTTAAATCAGTGTGTGCGTAAATTTCTAGCTCAACTACATATTCCCAACAACCCCCATAGCGATTTATCTATCGCAGCTAATTTGTGTTTGCCTTTCATCTTTGTGTTTTGCTTGGCTTGGGCGCAATTAACGTTTTCTGGGTCATTAATGGGAAATGGGAAATATGCAAAAAATGCAGACATATAGCATATAAGTAGCATTATAAATAATTTAATTTTAACAACAAACACACACATTTCGCTTCAGTTTAATTACATGCTATATGGAAATATCTGCTGCGGTTGGAATGTGAGGCGCTCTAAGGTCGATGTCGTGTCGTTGACTGCGGGTGCGTTCTTGGTGTTGGCGTCAACGCTGCCGCATGTCAACAGCCCGCCCAGTTTATGACAATTCTCATACACATAACACATTAGTTGCTGCTGGCTGGCGCTCTCTATGCATATATATTTACATAATGAGCTTTCTTTATTATGGCATTTGGCCTTTACGGCGTGCGTTGACAGACAGAAATCAATGTAGGCGTTGCATGAAGCATGAGCATTTTAAAGAGATCTGTTGCTGCAGACCTTGTTGCTTGAACTTGTGAAAGAGTGATACAAAGACGGTGACGGTGATGTAGCACGGCAAACTGATTGCTCAAATCCCAAAGCAATTGGTCTTGCTCCTGATGACGTTCTTTTACCTATTTCTGATTAATATGGGCCACTTCCGGCGCGTCTTGTTTACAAGTCTAATTGTACAGATGCCCACGTAAACAAAAATGCGCAGGTGTAGGTATTTATAGCAGCTTGTTATTTTTTAGATTGGTGCGTCAACTATCCCAGACTTGTGCTTGAATGGCTTCGCAGATGAATTATTTTAATTGGCATACTCATACGTTTATATGGGTATGTGTATTTATATGCAAGTATAACAATATAAATGTTCATAAACTCAACTCTTTGCGGCTGACCGCAAAACAATTAAATTTGATTGCGCTTTAAATCCCTTTTCCAGCTGAGTCGTCGGTCTGGCACGTGCTCAAGGCATAAATGAAGGAAGGACGAGGCAGCGACTTGACTTTCTAATCCTTTTTAGCAGTATTTGAAGTTGTTTCTCGGCACGTACGTTAGCGCCCACACCTAAGCTCTTCCTGTTATTGTTGCTGCTACTGCTGCCATAAATTGCAGAAAATTTATTTCACCACAAGGATTTGCTGTGTGAATTTTGTGCACGTTGTTTGTTGATTGTTGTACGTTCGCCCTTAGCTGTTGCACAGACAAAACAAACAATTTTGTTTATTTGTTTTATTAAATTCATTCAGATTTTAAAGGGCAGATTGATTAAAATTGCGGCTCTTTTCTACGGTGCACTGCCATTATACGCACACATACACTTACACTGCATTGTGTAGAAGAGCGAGAAATGCAAATGAATATTTAAAATATTGCGCACATGCCATTACAAGTGGCCGCCAGTTGGATGCTGATGCCGATGCCGATGACGTTAGCGATAGCCGCACATTCACATTTACAGACACAGAGATCCATGAACTTTAAATCATAGACAAGAGGATGGCGCTCCCGCCCAAGTAGCAGACAGCCAACAAATTGCTGACATAGCCGCACAATTGGTGGCCAGTTAAGTACAGAGAGGGGGAAAGGAAAATGAGAGAACAGAGAGAAAGAGAAATGAATAATATATTTGCGCACTAAAGTATGCTTTGTTTATTTTTGCGCTTGTAAAGCTATTTATAGATGTCAATAACTGCATATCGCGTATAACGTAGTATAAACCACGGGAATGCAGTTCCGTGGCCGTCATAAATTTAATGCAACGCAAAATCTCATCAAAAAACGCAGAGCAAGAAAAATATTGAATGTAATTTTATTTACCTCACCCCGAACAAACACACTCCCACCTCAGCACGCACACATTCGCATCTGTTTCTCTCTATCTCTCTCCACATTGCATTGCCATGATTCGTCGTACAAAGGATGCTGACGCACAGTGGGTATCTAGCACATAGAAAGCTGGAATGATCGGTTACAACGCTTTGTAAAGTTTGTTGCGAAAACAGCCAAGCTGTTAATTAAATTTAGTTACCCTTTGATAAGAGACAGCGTCTGTCATTCCCTTTTATGTTTCCTTTGTCACTCGATATAATCGTATTTACTATTATTTATATTACTTTATTGAAAACAAAGGTGGTTGTCTACAATGTAGATTACCTAAATGAGGATGTTCCTCTTGCGAAGAACGATACAGCTATGCGAAAAATAATAAGGACACTTGCATTGAACAAGTTAAACCACTTATCTGCTCCAAATGGAAGGGTTTAATAGAATATGCGCAATTACATCAAGTGCTGTAAAGGTGGCCAGAATGCCAATAAAGAACCGTTATGCTGGTTTTTAAAAACCAAAAAGTTGTCCGCTATTATGAAATGATAAATACAATTTAGGATTTGTAACCTATCAAAACAAGATGTTGTTACGGAGGTAGTGTTCGCTGAGAAGCATGTCTAGTAGCCTCTAAAGAAATGACGTAATATCCTGTGCTTGCAATCTCTCTTAATCTGATTGAAACAGCTAACGTGTCTGAAGACCATTGAACACAGCATTTTCGTAAAAAACTGTCAAACGTGGAGGGGCTCAATTTTGGTTTTGTTGATGGTTTACTTGTCAATGTCTCAAATATCAAATTAAGTAGACAATGTTGGGATTGAATACCTTATTGTAATAGACTAAGTGACATTGTGTTGCCTTTTGTCGAATATGTCT